CTAGGCAGTCCAACATCTCGTAGACCAAACTCAACATTTTCTTCATGGATTTGATGTCAGATAATTGTCTTTAATACACTTTTCTGCACTCTTAAGAATGTTCAAGTTATATGTTTAAATACCTACTTTTAAAATTAGAAGTAAAATATATAATTGGTTTGTTAATTAGGAAGACGTTGGAGAGCTGGCTGGGAGAAGTTCTGACTTTGATAAGTGATCATTTAAAAGTAAGGGCAGTTGCACTACATTTAACTTTCTTTGTATTGTCAGCTTTAAAATATATACTCAAGATGACAGATTCTGCGAATTTCCACCTATTTATTCCCCAGTCCAATATTCCACATGAAGTTAACTCAAGATACGGTGCAGTGGATATAAACAGTTTTCTGTGATGCCAGATACAGTATGCACAAGGGAAAATTCATTTTTTTAACTTGCTATCTATTATTAGACTTCTAATTACTCGGGCTGGATGAAAGCAGAAAAGTCTCATTCTTATAATAACTGCCAATTATGTAGCCAGAGGTGGTGGGCAGAGGGAGTTCATTTCAGGTAGCTTGGACTTAGGAAGTAGCATTTCTTTCTCAAGAGTTCTAACCCTACTTGTTTTGTTGTTTGTCCATTTTATAAATTTAGTGTCCCACATTTAATTACTCTAACAAGATTTGCAGTACACATACAGTAGCTAGAAATGATTTGGTCTCATGTCCTTTGTACCCATGTTTCTCACTGAAGCAAACTGGGATTGACTGTGCTTATGAAAGGAATCTGTGGATCAGATTTATATCTTGTGGAATACTTTGGTGAATATCAAGCATTTCTAGAGAACTCTGAGTTCACTTACTTTAAATTTCTTGCCATACCCCGCTAGGGAGAGAGTGTACAATTCTGTTTCCCTGATGAGGTAAACTTGCTTGAGAAGTAAAATTTTCATTACAGCATCTAATTTGGCATTCTTAAAAATACACAGATCTTTCTTCATTCTCTTTTAAGGAGTCTTAAGGCTGTTCAATTCTGAAATGACTAATTACTGCAGTGGATAATATATCATTCTCTTTTTATTATTCCAAAAATTAATATTGCCCTCAAGAGACCTCAGTTTATGCGTTTTGTTGGGAATGTGGCAAATTGTTATTTCTCACCGAAGATGTGGCTGTAATTGTGGTTGGAGGGAGATACAAAGCCGGGGATGTGTGGGACTCCTGGGATTCTGCCTGGGTTTGCGGAGGCTTTGCCTAGGATAAAGAATTTATGTTAAAGCACTGACAGCCTCTCTCATGTGCCGGGTGCTTTAGTTGCATTATTTCATTTATTCCTCATAATCCTCTAGAATAGTATCCTGCTTCTATTTCTGTGACAGTGGAAAACCTAAATCTGGATGAGTGTGTTTTAATGAAAACACCCCATTCCTAGCCGATGCCAAATGCAGGTTTGCTCAGAAGCACGCAGCTGCGGGGAGGATGCGGAGGTTAGACACTGGTTCTTTGATTCTCTGATGGACTTACAGTTTGAAATAGGGAGTAAAGTGTGGAGATCATGTTTACTGCACTTGAGCACACTACTTAGCGCACAGACTGAGTTTTCAAAACATGTGTTTTTCATAATAGTCCTGTAGTAACTGGCTGGGGTGTAACATATTCCATACCTACTCTAATTGATTTCGTTAATTTCTGTTTGTTTGTTTTGGGGGTTGGTTTGTTTTTGAGACAGAGTCTCACTGTGTAATCTAGGCTGGCCTTGAACTCCTTATGTAGCCCAGGCTGGCCTCAGACTTGCTGTGATCCTCTTGCCACAGCCTCCCAAGTGGTGGGATTAGTGGCATGCTGCACACCCGGCTATTTCCTCAGTTTCTTAATACCAGGCATAGTTTCAGTTGAAATCAAATCCGGGCCTCTACTTTTAAAAATGAAGGGTTTAGGCTGGGCATGGTGGTGCACGCTTGTAATCACAGCATCTGGGGGGCTGAGGCGGGTGGATCACTGTGAGTTTGAGGCCAGCCTGGGCTACATAGTGAGTTCAAGGCCAGCCAGCACTACACAGTGAGACCGTCTCATAAAACCCCCAAATAATGAAGGGTGCAGAAGGTTGTGGGGGTGGCTTTTCCCCCTTTGTCCTGTGAGAGCCATTGCCTAGGAAATCTTTCAGTGTGCATGGCTCCAGTACAAGAGCACCCTTTGAAAGCACTGCAGTAAAATGGAAGAATTGGAGATGTTATTACCATCAGCCTGCGTCCTTGGGTTCCAGGCCTGTGGATTCAATCAACTGTGGAGTGAAAATATTTTGGGGGAAAAATGGATGTGTATTGAACATGCGCAGGCCTTTCCCTCATCATTGTTCCCTAAGCAGTATAGTCACAATCCGCTACCCAGCATGTACTCTGTACCGGGTATTCTAAGCAATCTAGAGATGATTGCAGGTGTAACAAGGGATTGTGCTGGTTCTATGCATATGCCGTGCTCTTTTGTCTAAGAAACTTGGGCATCTGTGGATTTTGATAGCTGCAGGGTCCTGGAAGCAACCTCCCTCAGATACGGAGGGGCAGCTCAGTACCTGAGCTGAAAAAAAATTTTTTTCCGGTACCAGGAATCAAACTCAGGACCTTGCACTTGCCAGGCAGGCCCTTGTGCCACTGAGCTGTGTCCCCAGCCCTTGAGCTGAAAATTGTCTTAAGAAAAATGGCAGAAGAGGATGTGAAAGGAAGGTTGCTCTGTGGAAGAAGTAGCACTGTTAGAACCGAGCGGAAGGTGTCTCAAATACTCTGAGCCCCACGTTTGTGCTGTTCCAACAGTGAAGGGAGGTCCTGAAGCGGGGAGGAGACTGAGGCCCAAAACAAAGTTTCCTTGAAACCAAATGCAGATCCAGCCGGTGACCAAAAAAATTGTTCAAAAAGAAAGAAGAGCTAGGGTGGGGGAGGGGGAAAGGAAGGAAGGGAAAAGTGGCAAAAATGATGGAAAAAAACAAAGTGAAAAAAAAAAAACTTTGTAAATAGGGAAGGGAAGATGGGTTGAAGGGAGGAGAGGAGATTGGAAAAAATAGATATAAAAATATATCATGTACAGGTGCAAATTCTCTGTGGGGTGAATATGATCATTATGTATATATAAAATGTACCAATAAACTTAATTACATAAAAAAGTAATATTGTACTTCTAAAAAAATGGAATTCTGGCCAGGCGTGGTGGTGCACGCCTGTAATCCCAGCACTTGGGAGGCTGAGGCAGGAGGATCGTTGCAAGTTCAAGACCAGCCTGGGTTACAAAGTGAGCTCAAGGCCAGCCTGAACTGGAGAGGGAGACCCAGTCTCAAAAAAAAAAAAAAAAAAAAATGGAATTCTGACATTGTTCCCTCACTAGAATACGAATAGGCAGAATTTGGTGTCACAGAAAGTAGTTCATGCAAAAGAGGACGTTCACTACGTTTTGTGATAGAGACTAAAACAACCGTCAGGAGGATCACGGAGAAGCAGCAGTTGAAAAGAACTCAGCAGCCCAGCATGTTCTGATGTGGCGCGATCTCCAAGGCACATTAGACAAGGGAGGCACAGAGCATGTGTTGCAAGATCTCATTTCTGTCCAGATGTGTGCATACAGCTGCAGGTGGATGTGTGCATAAAAAGGACTGCGAGTAGGATAGAGAAACGTAAAAGCATTGGGAAGGGAGATAGAAATTGGGAAGAAAAAGGGTGCTTCCGTGAACGTACTCCAGATGTTTCTGTCTTTGAATTTACACACACACACACACACACACACACACACACAGAGAGAGAGAGAGAGAGGAGAATTTTAAAAAACTATAGAAAACGGGAAGCAAAAATTGAGGGTCTCAGTGAAGGTATGAAGAGTGACCAATAAATATGGTGAATGTTTAAATGAAAAAAATTTTTAACACTAAACGACACATCGGCATTAATCTTCCTCAGAATCCTCCTCCATGCTTTGAAGGCTCCTATCCTGTTGTGCTTGCCTCTTCCTGGAGCAGTCTGGAAGTCCTTTTGTGTCTTTTCCTCCCTGCCTTGCTTTCCTAAATCCATACAGAATGTTTTTGGCAACTTCTGTCAAAAACATTACATTGTATCTTCTTCATATTTGCTGGATCTGCCACTATGCGACTCCTGGCTCTTCCCCAGGTCAAAATGACCGTGAGAAGGTGAACACTTTCAACTGATTCAGAACGTGGAGGAGGCCACACGAGCACAGGTAAAGACGTGGAACAGGACCTCCAGAACGGCTTCAGAAAGTGGCAAGGACAGTGAGATACGGAGGAGTATTTTACAGGCAACTAGTAGCGTGTCTTTCACTGTGATAGCATTTCTTAAAATTTAAACCGCTGTATCTTATGGTCACACCTTGAGTACAGTTAGGAGCATAGACTCTGGAGCGAAGCCTTGCAGGTTTGAATCGTAGGTCCTTTACTTACAGCTGCACAGGGGCTGGGGGTTTAGCTCAGCGGCACAGCAGCTGCCTGGCGAGCGCAAGGTCATGAGTTCGATTCCCGGTGCCAGGAAAAAAAAAACCAAAAATCCAAAAACTTACAGCTGCACACCCTCACACACAGTTGTCGCCTTGTGTCCCTCCATCTACTCAAAAGGAAAACGGGTGGGGTACTTGCGTTGTTCAAAGGATTAAGTAGTTCCCCGGAGAACATAATGATCAATACTTGACACATAATAAATATCTATATATTACAATAGCATCTAGCTCTCCTCAGTGCTTTGTGCTTCGGTGGAAAATGTCTCCAGTGAATGCTTTAGTAATCACAGTGTACTGTTGGAGTTTTCGTTGAATTGATTAGTGATACTCATTATTTTCACTCTACTGGTGTTCAGAGTTTTGGAAAGATTAACAAAAACAGGTGAGATTGTCTTGTTTTATGGAGTGTGCCAGACATTTTATTTGTGGAGATGCTGAGTTTGTGTCTTGGATCATATGATGTAAGGTACATGTGATAAATCAACTGTAGAAATGTAAATGTAGATAATGAGGTTTTTCTCTTTGTCTCAGGAAGACTATGATCGTCTGAGGCCTTTATCCTATCCAATGACTGATGTCTTCCTCATATGCTTCTCCGTGGTCAATCCAGCCTCATTTCAAAATGTGAAAGAGGAGTGGGTACCGGAACTTAAGGAATATGCACCAAATGTACCCTTTTTATTAATAGGAACTCAGGTACGTCTCCTTGGATTCTACCAAGTTACGCATAAGTTCTGCCGCCAGTGGGGTGGGGGGGTGTTACTCTCAGACAGATGGTCCCAAGCTTAGCAAACGTGTTTAAATTCAGGTGCAGGTTAATAAGTTCTATCATATTTTTGGAAAAAAAGTAGTGTCAAAATAAAGCAGTTATATGAGTAGCTTTAAAAATTTTAAGAATTTAATAAATTAAAATTTTAAAAATTTTCTTTTTTGTAACTGGGGATTAAATGGGATGACATGCTTTGATTTCTCTTTAAAGACTTGTAATGTTATGGGACGTTATTGACCTTTCTTAATTAGATTGATCTCCGAGACGACCCCAAAACTTTAGCAAGACTGAATGATATGAAGGAAAAACCTATATGTGTGGAACAAGGACAGAAACTAGCAAAAGAGGTAATGGAACGTTTGCAGAATTGAAAAATAAATGTGAAGATAATAGTAAAAGCAAACGCTTGTGTGTTTACGGTGTGCCAGGCACTGTGCTGAGTGCTTTGTGTGCATTGTCTTGTTTACTCCTTACCCCCGCTGTGTGAGGCAGGTCTTTTTGCCTTGTTATAGAGAAGAGAAAACGGAGGCTTAGGGACATTGCCTCAGGTCCTGCAGGAGCAAGCAGCAGAGCTGGGTTTCAGTCCAAGCCAGGCTCTTCTACCTGTGCCACACGTCAACAGTATTTTCTTAAAAAGTTATGCATGGAAAGGGGGCATCAGGGACAGGTGTTGAGACTTTGATCCCTTTTTGAATACTTAAACGTTTGTACCGTGCCACATCAGACTCTGTCTTCAGTAGACTCACAGAATAGGTGGTAGAGTAGCACTGGAAGACAACTTAAAATGGTGGTTAAAAACCAAAAGTTATGGCCAGGTTTCTAAACAAAAAATACATAACAGTGATGCACTCACGCCTTGTAGCTTATGTTCTTCCTCACCCTGAAGCTAGGTTTACTTTATCTCTGTTTGGCCCTAACATTGTTGGATTATGTCTTTAAATGTTGTGCATGTTCCATAGGACTTTTGTGGAAACAACTTAATAAGGTCTTTTCAAATGTACCACGTACTAGGAGACAGAAGGTCAAGCAAGGAAATTTTCTGCAGGGCAGTTTTTCCCAAAGCAAAATGTGATGGTCTCACTAACTAATCACTTGAGGAATTTCTTGTATTTGATCTTGTTATCTTAGGGAGGGAAGGAATTTCTAAATGTGATAAAGGTAAATGTCATAAATGAAGATATGGATGATTTAACCACACACAAGTTCGATACATAAAATGCCAGAAATAGATTTATATTAAAAGGCATACAACAAATGATATATATGACAGAAAAGTGTGTTAACATCCTTATATAATATAGGAAAACCTACATAAATTAATTACACAGGAAAAGACCTATACTCCAGTAGAAAAACGGGCTAAGAACAGATTGTATTCAGGATAGAAATGTTCACACCCATATAGTAGTAATTCAGTTTCCACAAGTAAGGGGCAAAAAATGAAAAATGAATTAAACCTGCTGTTCCAGGCATACTATTATATTGGTGGTCGTTGAATAAAAGCAATCTTGATAACATGCAAAAGCCTTAAAATCATACTTACCTTTGATAAAGCAATTCCTGTGTAGCCATGTATCCTAAGAAAATTCTTAGGATGTTGGTCAAAGAAAGTTTCGGACTGCGGGATCAGTGTGTGAGATATATTGCACAGGGCGATGAGAATAGTTACAGTGCATCATACGATTCAGAATTGACAAGAGTAAAGTTTCCCGTGTTCTCACCACCAAACATGATAAGTATCGGACACGATGGCTGTGTTAGCCTGACGTAATCATTCCACACTGCACACATCGCTTCATACCCTGTAAATATATAGAATTACAAGTGTCAGTTCACAATTAAAAGTTCCTGGGGATGTGCTTCAAGAGATGACTGCGGAGACTGCAGTGTTCATAATGATAAAAAAATCTCTGCATCTACTAAGGACTCACACTGAGTGCCTATTTGAGGTACTCACATTTATTACAGTTTAAGGAAGGCGGAGTTGCAGAATCATACGGTCCTAGGCTGTTCGCAGCGTTTGGCACGGTTGGCTCCTTTTTATTCTTTCTTGGTGGTGCTGAGGCTGCAACCAGAGCCCTCACACGTGCGTGGCAAACTTCCTGACACGGCTTCCCGGAGCGCTCTTTCTTGGTTCTCCTCCCTTCTCGTTGACCCCTCTGCCGTCTCTTCGTCTCCACGGCCCCTGCATGTTGGAGGGCCCCAGGCATCAGCCTCTCCCTTGGCCGTTCCCACTCCTGAGGCCTAGGGAACTTTTCCCCGTCTTGTGACTTGAATACAATTTCCCACAATTGCGTCTCCAGCGCGAACTTCTTCCATAAACTTTGGGTGTAGCTGTCCAGTTGTCCACTTCACAGGTCGGTCTGGGTGGCTGAGCATTTCTGAGTGGACATGCCCAGAGTTCCTGATCGTGCCCTCCAAGCCTGTCCTTGGAACTACTAAGGTCAGAAGCCCGGAAGTGAGACCTGACCCCGCTCTCTCTCAGATCGCACATCTGACCTTTGAGTGGAGCGCACTGTTTTGCTTTCAGAGCAGACGAGTCTCCGAATGCTTCCCTGTCCGCCTCTCCTCTTCACCTCCGACCTGGGTTACTGCAGTGGTGTTGCGTCATCTGTCTGCTGTCTGTGCTCCATGATAATCTGTTCTCAACACAGCAGCAGAGTGAGTTAAAATACAAGCTCAGTCAGGTCATTGCTCTGCCCAGAACCCTCTGGATGGTCCCCAACACTCAAGAGTGTAGGCCAGAGCCCTGCCACAAGCCTGTAGACGGTGCTGTCTCTGTGCTCCAGCCCTGACCGCTCTCCCTCTAGAGCTGCCTCAGGGCCTTTGTACTTTGTTGTTCTGCCTGGCCTATTCCGTGTGTGTCCGTTACTCATTCTTACCCCCTTCAGGCCTGTGTGCATACCTCATGTGTGACCCCCACCTGATCATCCATACCCACTCCCTACTTTACCTCCCTTCCCGCTTTTCCCCAGAGCACACATTACCTTTCAACATTGTGCCTCTGTACTTAGCAGTGCTTGGCTGGGCTTCTCTAAGATGCGGTGAGGTGCATGAGAGTAGTGTGGGAAATTAATTTTGTTCCCTGCTGTGTTCTCACATTTAACAAATGAGTGTGTGCAGTTACCTTTCAGTGGATGAACAGGCCCCTCTGAGAGCAGGCCAGTCAGTACGGCCTCGAGGCTACCTCCACCCCGTGTCTCCCCCTCCAACGCCCTTCTGCCACACTGGCGTCTTTTCTGTCCCTTGAATGCTCCAAACATGTGCCCACTCAGGTATTTGCATCTAGGGTCCTGGCAGAGCCCTTCCCCTTGACCTGCCGTGAAGCCTTCCCTGAGCACCAGCAGCAGCCTCCGTGCTGTCACTTGTCCTCCCTAGCATTTGCACCGCCTGGTCTAGAGCCTTCTGTGTGCGTCTTCCCTGTGGGATGTAAGCGGATGTGGTTCAGTCCACTGAGATTCCCCCAGCACGCAAACAACGCTGGAGGTACAGTAGGTACTCAGATATTTGATGATTGAAAGCATTTTTCATAAAGTCCAGGAAGAAGACTGGTATTTGAACAGTTGGGTATGGATGGTGGTATGATGGGCATATGAATATGGATTATTCTTTTGCATAGCTGTGCCTTACAGTTTGTTATAATGTGATGTGTCAACCAATTATGTAAAGACTTTATATACTTGTAATTTTATTTTTCTCCCTCCCAGATAGGCGCATGCTGCTATGTGGAATGTTCAGCTTTAACCCAGAAGGGATTGAAGACTGTTTTTGATGAGGCTATCATAGCCATTTTAACTCCAAAGAAACACACAGTTAAAAAAAGAATAGGATCAAGATGTATAAACTGTTGTTTGATTACGTGAAAAACATCTTCAGTGGCCAACAAAACTGTCAGTTTCTCTTAGAAAGCGTATGAAATGCTACAGCGATACCCAGACCTCTTACAACGAAGCAGTTTAAAACTTGAAAGAAAACAAAACCTGTCCTCAGAATTCTACAAAGTTCATTAAGAATGTTCCTTACAGGTCTAATAAGCAGCAAACAGAATCTGAAGCCACAATCTGTTATAAATACTTTATTTCAACTAGAAGGTACAATCTCTCAGGGTTTTCATAGTTTAAAAAGCTACAATCACATGGTGAAACTACATTAAACAACAACAGTGCTGTAAATGGAACTGCTTGGCTTCGACCATATACATTACTGCACAGCCCTTACGGAATCTGCACAAAGAATTATCTTCTCCCTTTGCTCCAGTTAATTGTTCTTGTATGTAAGTTGCTTTCTATTCCAGTATATCCAGAGTGGTGAAATAACAAGGCCAGCCACATAGCCAAAGGTTGCTCCAAGCGTACAGGAGATGGGCCATACCTGAGGAGAGAATGTATGAGATCAAAAGCGAACAAATGTTTATTATTACCTGAGCACAAGTTCCATGTAACCTAAATATTTCTATATTAAAGCTTACTGTGCTTTCTTAAAGAATGCCAAAAGTATAATCAGGTCATGACTGCATTTATCATCAACACTACAAATGTACACATTTCAGTTAATGTGCATTAAACTGTAACAAGGCTTCTGACAATTGTAGATTTAGTCTGATGCTCCCCAGACTGCATGAGATACATGCTAAAATTACAAATCAAAATTCTGGGTCAGACTTTGCCACAACCATGGACTCAGTTTAGCGCTCTGAACTAGCTGGTCAGTTTTTTTAAATTCCCACAGTGGCTGTGTACATCAGATGAAATGAGAGGTGTGTGTGCTGACCAGAACACAAGAGAATTTCGACTTATGTTAAAGAGTCAAAACCTAGAATCTAAGCATGTTACGTGAAATTTAACACAGAGCAGCTGCTTCTGTAATAAAGGTCACCTTTGAGATGCAGGCAGACATTGCAACCATAGCAGAAGTTACAGAACCACAATTTATGTACACACTCAGAGTGTAAGTTCAACACAATACCCCTGGCTTCCAAATACTATTCTCTCCAGTTGTATTACATCTCACAATATTCCATTAAGCCAGAAATGTTGGTTTAATTCACAAGCAGTATGTATCTGTCCCGAGATGAGGTGAAAGGCTCTGCTTAAAAAAAAAAAATTGGAAACAAACTTTTCATGTTCATCTGTAAAGCTTACATGTTATACTGGAGCCGTTTCTAGTCACCTGAGGAACAGGCCTTAGAACTGTGTTAGAGGTGAACCTTTTTAATAGCTGGTCCTGTTACCTAATTTACTTCATTTCGTCTGCTATGGAACTCCCATGTTCCACATGCCACACAACACGTAGGAGTGTTAGACAAAGTGTGAACCACCTAATGCAGTTTTGAGACGCATAATCTAACCCATAATTTTCCCAGCCTTCCTTACATTTCAATTTGCTGTTGTGTAAATTATGATTTGTCTTTAGTAGGCTTCTGTTAATCTTTTATGATTTATATTTACAGCTGTATGTATTGCACAGATTGGGTAATGGAACACTAAACATTTATACTTGAAAATGACCGCCTTAAATGCTTATATCAGTCACAAATCTAGGATGTACTGTCTTTGTATGTGAGCTTTGTAGAGATTTTTAAAAATACAAGCATCATCTTCCCCATTGAAGCGTGGAGAATCTGCGGGATAACTAGTCAGAAGCTTCTCTCAGAACTGGACATTGGATATCTTCCTTCTCTCAAGAATGGTGGTTCACACTCTCATGGCCTTATGTATGCTCAAATGAAATCCTCTGTAACTTTTTCATTTAATTTTGGTCTATTTTTAGATAGAATTTAAGGAATTGTATACATCAGCTAACATATTATCTGAGTTGTCCAACACATGGTATAAAGGAATTACGACAGTAAAGTATTATACATTTCCTAGTTGCCTTTGGGAATTTGATGGGGATTTCCTTTTTCTAATTTACATCCTTGAAACCCTTCACACTTGGTTTTACTAGGCAATGAAAATATAATCCTGCTCTAAGAGATGGATTAGGAATCTGGAAACACAAACTGGTGTCAGCTGCTTCTTGACTGGGCCTGTTTCCTCACCCTAAGATTTGGGAGGTGGAAGAGATGATCTCCAGTGTCTCTCCCATTTATCCGTTCTTAGTGTCTTCTTCCTGGTTCACAACAGTCACTGTTGGACACCCCCTTCTCCCGATGGTAAGGGTCACGTACACAGACTGTCAGAGCTCCAAGCGAAGATGATTGTATCATCGGAACCTGAGGTGCCTTAGGTACTCTACTGACCTTGATGCGGTTTGGAGTTTCCCATTGCTTATTCAGCGCTTTTTAATTGCTTTAGTTATTTCGTGTTTCTTTTGGCAAAATCCTTCCTGCCACTTAAACTAAAAACCAAAGATTTGTTTTCTATTCATAAGCAGATTGTAGAAAAGTTGCCTTATTTTCAGAGACATGTTTTTTCATTAAAGGCTTAGGTTTTAATAGAAATTCTGATGAATCTCTGGAATGACTCTTTCAAACTAGTGAACTGTTTGAGAAATAAAATACACTTCAAAATATTTTATTGCCATGAATTTTGCTAGTGAATGCAAATATATTGCTTCTAATAAGGTCATGTATGAAAGAACTTAAAAGAGATTTGTAGTTAATCCATTTTTGCATATAGTGGATTAGTTCTAAAGTTCTTAAAAATATTTTTAGTGACTTCCTGAAATCTTATTTAATACTTGGCTAATTTACGTCCTTAGTTTATCTCTGTAGGTACATTTTAGATTACCCAGGTTGAAAAATATTTCTAGTAAGTAGAGCTTGAATTAATGGTGTTTGTCATAAATTCTTAGTTACTTTAGAGGCTGCTTCCGTTGGATTTTTAATTACTTTAAATACCAAATTAAATATTGGTTTGTTGGTTGTTGCTAAAGTGATTGTTAACTTTAACAGTGTCCCTTCTTAACACGTGGGGTTACAAATAAAATGATACGCATAGTTTACTATCTATGTAAAGTACTGAACTTCTTACCGCAGTAGTCTCTATTGAGCACACTAGGAAAACGGGGGAGGGTACTGTTCCCTTCTTACCTCTGCTGTGGGACTGCGCGTTACTGGCAGCACCTGCACTCTGCTGAAAAGCTACGGTCAGGGTGCAGGAAAAGTAATCATCCCTCGTGGGTCCCGGCCAGATTCACATGTGGGTTACTCAATTCTGCCTTCATCACTGTAATTTCAGAATGGCTTTTTGTTCTCAAACATACACAGACACTCAACATACATTCTTTAAACTGCTGCCATACTTCACCTCCAATAGAATGCCAAAAATGAAATCAACACTAGTTTGAAAGTTTTGCCTAACGGAAAGGTTAAGGCTTAGAACATGTGATTATTAGGTAAAGCCCAAGAAATCCATGGCACCATCAGCAAATTAAAATGTTCACTGGTTTTGAACTTAGCAGAGTACCTGCTCGATCTTCCTGAAATAAATATTCCTTAATTGTGAACGCAGTCCTTTATTAAAACTTCTTATTGTCTAAGAGCAATTGTCCTGATTTTTGTAGACCCAGACAGGGATAGGGCAAGGGGTAGTTACGGGAGGTTGCTCAGCGAGAACCACTCCTAAGCAAGGTCTGCCTTTCCTGTAATTGCTTTAAAAGTTTACACCATGGCAGCAATTCACATGACCCATCAGATCATTCTAGCACAATCATTTATTTTCATAATTAGATCTTAAAGTTTTCTACTTAAAACTGCTTGTTTCACATACAGAGATACTTCTATTTCGCATTCTTCATGCCCAAACAGGATTTCAAAAGAGACCTCTATGTGTACACACTACACAGTTCAGCTGCATCGCTACAAGTATTTCTCCAAACCGTGGTAATGTGAGATGGATGAATATAGTTATTTTGTTTAAGGAAAACAGGACACTGAGAAGAAAGACTTTCATATAAAGGATGTTAATTCACAAGTTGTTGCTACCGAATGACAATCTTCTTTTAACCTAGTTTCTTTAAATTGTTTTCTTTTTCTTCCTTATACCTCTTGAGATAGGATTTTGCCAAGCTTCCCGGGCTGCTGGCCTCAAATGCTATTGTTCTGCCTCAGCCTCCTGAGCAGCTGGGATGACAGGCATGTACCACCGTGCCCAACTAAATATTTTTTTGTTTTGTGATCACTAAATAGAAGAGACAGCTCATCCATGTAAGATGGTAAAATTACTAGCCTTAGAAAAACCTGTTTGAAATTTGAGTGGCTAAAATAGCCTGCTGAGGGCACCATTACTGTCCTTTGTTTAAATCACATGGTTCTTTATTATGTATTTTTTATCCCTTAAACCAAAAGATGATTGATTTTCTCTTAAAATAGCAGTGATAAAAAATTTTACATTTCATAAAATGGGGTCTGGTACATCATACCAGTACCAAGTACTTTTTTCTCTCAGAAATAAAATAATTTTATCTTTATAAATAAAATAAAAGTACACAATACATAAACTTTGTATGTTTTCTGTGTTACATAAATCACTACGGCTGGATGAAAGACATTTCAAAATTATAAACACATTCCCACCTGAAAACCACACTATTTTCTCCTGATCAGGCACTGCTACAGAACTGAACTCTGCCTACATTTTAGGAAAGGAAAGCGTAATGACATACTAGGAAGTGTTTGATATTTCTCACAGCGTATTCTGAGTAGTACAGAACAATGATAAGGAACACCAATTTTGATACCAGAGAGACTGGATTTGGGACTTGGCTCTACCGGTTACTAAGTATGTGGCCCTGGGCAAGTCAACTAACCTTTCTGTGCCTTGTTTTCCTTACCTGCAAAATGAGGACTTCTATACCATGTACCCAAGTGTAATGATCAAATAATGCAACATGCATTCTTTACCACACACATAACAGTATCTGCGCATATCACACGTGACCAGTGCACTGGAACTCTTCACTGACTGTATCTCTTGGCTCCTAGTCCTGAGAGGCACATATGAAATAAGCTGCCATTACAACGCACAGCAGCATCATGTCCTAAACGTACAAACTCTTCTGCTCCTCCAAGCACTTTAAAAATATTTTTAGAAGTCGTACCTAACCGAATTCACGTTTCCCTCTGGCCTCAGATGTTACGTGACCCTCAGATAGTCCTTGCGTGTAATTTTAGGGGTTCAGAGACCTATGAAACCCATCTCTGGACTTTTGCATCACTCAACCATAACAAGTATTTTATTCATAGCGACCCTTTACCTTTTAGGTCTCCAAATTTTAAGGATCAATCTTAATATAGATGGTATTTGTCTGTAATTACATAATTTAGAAGTAAACAGTTGAGATGTATTTTACTAAATTCTAATACAAATATTCTACAGGTTTCTTCAAAATACACTATATATATAATACAAATAACTTCTAAAATCTGTAATATCATTGAACATAAAAGCTGCTTTAATATGCATTACTGTGGCACTGACGAGCTGCTACAGGCTTCCTATAATGATGACCATTTATTTGAAATTAGATGATAATTTTTTCAAATTAGTTTCGAATGTTGAGAAAGTTTAAAAGTAACTATACAAAACTATGCAGCTATTTTCTTAAATAACATTGTGTTTTATTTAGAAACTTTTCTTGGAAGCAGCTCGGGCAGGGGAGTGAAAATGACCTGAATTTCAGGGCCAGTGCAGCCATATGATCTTCGCCAGATCACTTAATATCTGAGCCTCAGTTTCCCAATCTGCAAAGCAGAGACAACAGTACCAATTGTACTTAAAAATACAGGCTGTTATATTAGATGAAGGAATATTTTCAAATTTGACATGAAAACTTTGAGAACCATGTATTAGTATTCTGTATATTATATATCTTAGCTTGAAAAAACTAATGTGAATACTAATGTATTTCTTGGATAACTGACACTTCTAGATAGTAAACAGAATCAGCAGTTTAGAAGAAATAAAATAGTTGACGAGTAATGTTATACTGTGTGGTAGGAACTGTATCCTTACCCTTGTAATACAATCATCTTTAATATATACTGTTCTTCACATGTACTGTGAGGGGAGTATACAATTTACAAAAGAAAATTCTCAGGAGCTATACAGTATACTGCCACCATGCTAACCATTTGGAGTTTCTTTTCAGAAATAGAAGTATTACCTTCTTTTGTCTGTCATTGTTCATAAATTTTAAAAAGCAAGATTTAGTATAGATACTGGTTTTAAACCAATCACTGAAAAAAATTGGAATGGTTTTTTTGTTTTTATTTTTATTGAGACAATGTCTCGCTATGTTGCCCAGGCTGGACTTGAACTTCTGGATTCAAACCTTGCCTCAGCCTCCCAAGTAGCTGGGCCTGTAGGTGTGCATGCCACTCTGTCCTGTCGTGTTACCTTTAAGAGTCTCATTCAAAACTACTGATCCCCTACTATAAATCAAGAAATTCAGTTTATTTATTTTTACTTATTTTTTAGAGACAGGGTCTCCTTACATAACCCAGGATGGCCCTGAGCTCACAGTGATCCTCCTGTCTCAGCTTCCCGATATTGGGATTACAGGCATGTGCCACCACGCCCAGCTTATAAATCAAGAAGCTAAGGTGTAAGCTAAGATTAAATGATTTGGTTTTAAATCAGCTGCAGCATAAATCCTTAAAAATGTGTGTTCCAATGTAATTAAATTACTTACACTGTGGGAGTGAGTGTATGCCACCAGTGACATGGAGAGACTGACCTGTCTGAGGAGAACACCTAGAAACACCTGCAGTGACTCCCGCCCACTGGGTTACTGCTTCTCTTTTCCGACAAAGGAAAATAAAACACAGGCAGCTAGTTCTGAATCTCTCATAAGCTACTTTTTATTATGTATGTTGTATTATGTTTACCACAAATGTGCTTTTGCAGGAATGACAGAATGTGTCTTTCAGGGCCAGCTGACCTTCCAAGGGCTTTAAATGATCGTTTACATTTTCCTCTGAACTTGGTCTTGAGCAATGATGAGTTTTTCGAGATACTCCTAAAACAAATACTGTTGTCTGAGGTAGGAATACAGGCACAGATGAAGCTGCTTGAAGCTGCTCTCCCTGTAAATCCACATCGATTCCTGTATATTCTGACCACTCTGCTATGACTGGGAACACAAGATATTTGGCCTGTGGTGTGTGGTCACTGGTCTGGAGTTCTTTTCCATGTGACACTAAATGGTCCTGTCCACACTCCCGTAAATGAGCTAACCCGGACAACAGCATTCTCTCTTTCATGGAAGTCCTCACAGAGCTAACAGTTAGCAACACAACCACCCGACAAGGAACATACTGTTTAAATCGCAAACCAGCTTCTGTCAGTTAACTATGCTTTTTCCCAGTGCTTGGAACATATAAATCATATCCTAATTAATATTTTATTTTGGTCTTGAACAGTATAATCCCTTTGGCAAGAGAAATACCAATTAACCTAAAAACATGCAGCTCTTCAATCAAATCCATAATCTGTTCTATCCCTCCCTCCAGCATTTTGCAGCAATTCAATTAGTCATAATCCTATGATCTCTAGCTTCAGTTTATGAACAATTTATCTGTGATATCTGTGACTCGAGAAAGGGAACATATGTCTCAAAAATATTAAATTTTCTGATAAAACTGAGAGAAAAAATATTATTAAATACAACAATGTTCATTTATCTGGTATCTGGTGGGCATAAATACAAATATTTAAAATAGTGTCAAAGACCATCTCCAGCACCTAAAATTCAAAACCTTCAAATTCACTTGTTTAAAGTACATTTTGCTTTTTAACTTATAAAAAATAACTATCCCAAAAGAGACCTGTTCATGTGGTTCAATTGCTCTCAGAGATACCAGCATTAAAGTCTAGAGTTCAAAGGCACATGGAGATGTTTCAGGCACAAAAGCGTTATATATCAGCTTTAAATATCCTCCTACAAATATATTAAATTATGGTATAAAATACAGATAGAGTGGCTGCAGCATTTAGAGGCGACAACATGGGGACAGAGGCAGGAGGATCGTTGCGAGTTCGAGACCAGCCTATGCTACACAAGTGAGTTCAAGGCCAGCCTGAACTGCATAGTAAGACTCTGTCTCAAAAAGACAAAAACCAGAAAAAACCAGAGGACAGAAATCAGCTTAACTACTCCAGCTATTCCAAAGAGATCTAAGCTATGACCACTGGGGGAAAAAAAGAAAAGCAAAGCTGTTTCAGTATCCAGCAGCGAGGGGAATCACAGTGTAGCGGGCTCTTGTTGAATCCTAAGCCTTCCCCTTACCAGCCAGGCAATGCTGAGCAGGATGTGTAGTCCTTCCCTCCCGTACCTGGACTTCCCAGTGCAGTGGTGGTGAACCTATGGCACCCATGCTGCAGCGGGCTTCTGGTATCACTGAAAACTCTACAAGGTTCACCATCACTGTTCTAGTGTGTAACAATGGGGTCAGAAACTAACCGTGCACTGCAGCTGTCTGGATTAAATTACTTCTGTGACAGTGCCAAGCCCCAAGCCTGATACACACACAGATCTACAAATGCTGCCATGTTCTTTCAGTTGCCATCTGAAATGTCAGACAGCACTGAAAATTATGTGAAATCGAAGTATCCTAAATTAGTCCAATAAAATACTGGAGAAACCGATACAGTAATCCATTACTCCCCCAAATGAAGGCCTGCTGGGGAGTCAGGTGACACACTGAGACAACACAGCCCCTAACACAGAAGGACTCAGTAAACAACGGAATTTGCCTTTTTTTTGAATGCTAAAAGTATAGTCATTAAACTACTTTTATAGGTCATAAATGCCTGTGCCATTAATTAAGCAGTAACTATGTATCAGGCAGTAAGTATTTTAGAAGGCTTTTAGCACTTAGTCCTTACTAGCAAGTGGCGGAGCCAGGATCTAAGCCCAAGTAATCTGATGCCAGAGTTCACAGTCATCGTGTTAACTCCCTACCTATTAATAAAACATATGGGCTTAAAAGCCTCATGGTTGGCTGGGCATGGTGGCGCATGCCTGTAATCTCAGCGCTCGGGAGGCTGAGGCAGGAGGACAGCTGCAAGTTCGAGGCCTGCCTGGGCTACATAGTGAGTTCAAGGCTAGCTTCAACTATGTAGCAAGATCCTATCTCCAAAATTAATAATAATAATAATAATAAATAAAACAAAACAAAAAACTTCAAGTCAATTTCCTTAGCTCAGAATAACCAACATTTCTTAACCTCACTCAAAATTTTTTGTAACATGAAATTCCAGCCCAGTTTTGATAAAGACTTAAGACATTGTCCAGATGAAAAGCTCATAGTTACCTGTTTTACAAAATACTTAAGGTACATTAACTCTGAATCTAAATCAGAATCCGAAGCTAAGTTTTACTGTTTTGTTTTGTTTTGTTTTGTTTTCCTGGTACTGGGAACTGAACTCACGACCTCACGCTTGCCAGGCAGGCACTGTGTCACTGAGCTAAATCCCCAGCCCTCTAAGTTTTATTGTTATGAAATAATTTTAGTCCTAGGTGATTTTAAGTGTCTGTTATACTTACCAGAGTAACCGCTTTGCATACAGTAATAACAGATACTTACTGATCAGCTACTAGTTACAGCAGGTAAAGAACCAAATTATAATGAACAAAGGTTTTTTGCAGTCCAGTGAAGGTAGATGAATTTCAAGTATTAAATGAAACAAAACAAAGATGTACTGGTAGTTACTCTACTATTTTCTCTTTAACCAAATCCCCTTGCTACGTTTTAGAAAGTGAAGGCTTCCTCCAACTGTAAAGATGCTTCGTATCTTTTCATCATTACTTAAAAGCACTTAAAATTCATGTCAAGTGAAAAAAACTTTTTCACAAGGATTATATATTTCAATGGGCCTTTCTAGGCACTTTACTAAGAGATGATTTAAAGACTATAAAAACGCTTGAACTTTCTCATAAATTCACATCACTAATCTTGGTCTCAGAAACTTCATACAAAGTCAGATTTGAGTTTGAAGTAGAGAAAATGAGTTAAAACATGTAACAGCTTTTTGTTGTTTTTTTTTTTTTTTTGAGGGGGGCAGTTCTGTGTGCACATGTGTTTTTAAAGAAAGTACAACTATTTCACCAGACACTATTTCTCTGAATAGAACAGAAACAAAATAAATCACAATCTCAAAGTTTACCATAAACATAACCAAATTTGTATGGGACTATAAGGATTAGAGAACTAAAGTTCTTCTTAATATATGTTATATTTTAGATAATAAAGTATACACAGTACTATTTTCTCATGAAATTTTTCTCTAGCAAAATCTCCACTGTTAAGAAATGCCATGTCATCTTATCTTTTTACTGTTTCTGTGGCAGATTCTAGTAGCATCATGAGCCACATTCATTTCTTGTTCTGTGTAGAATTTAAAAAATAACAAAAACTTATTCAAAACCTTTGCTGAAAATAAAAAGCGAAAGAAAAAAAAGCTACGTAATAGCTACACTAATAACTCCCAAGAGAGGGGCAGGTGAGTATTATCTAAATAACATAATGTTAACTATATACTAATTCTGTCTTTCCACCAGTAAATACCATGTTTAAAAGGATCACAGGAAATAAGTGGGTCATTAACTTAGAAAACTCTACATTTATTTTTTAATACCATAATTCTGTTTGGGAGAGAAAACCCTAGGAAAATAATTAGAAAAATTCATTAAGCTATGGATTCAAACATGCTTATCATAGCAGTATTTTAGTACAGCAAAATACTACTAATGATCAATAATCAATGTATTAAACGACAGAGTAACAATATAATAGTATACTACAAAGTCATTTAAAAAAGATAAAGATATATCCATCATCTAGCAGCTCTGTGACCTTAACAAGGTTACCTATCTTCCAGGCATTGGTTTCCTCTGTTAAATGAAGACGAAAAAAAAAACTCATCTGACCGTGTTTTACCTACCATATTGGCTTTATCTTAATGTAACAGCAAATGAAAAATCTGAGGTTTGTGAATTTTTTCTGATAGTACATCTATTTTTAAAATTACTTTGCTATATTTTCTAAATATATGTCAAGATCAACATTAAAACTGCCATCCACCATATTAAAAAAAAAAATAAATGTAAGACCAGTGAGTAGTGGATATGAAAGTTAAAAACAGAAAATCTGTGTAACTTCCAGTCCAAAAGTTAAGAAAAACTCCTATATTTATTCACAAAATAAGTCTGTTTGTTCACTCATACATGTAGAAAAATATACTGCTGGAAGGTAAGTGCAGGCCAACCTGGATGCCATGTCACTGGGATAGACCCCAAAATAAGAAACCATCTAGACTACACAGGAATTGGTATTCTTCCTAAACTGAACAAAAAAAGTATATGTATATTAGTTTGCTTCACAGGCCTTGTCATACTGTCTCAACAGGTATTTTAGTGCTTTAAATAGTTGAAACCAACCTGCCATGGTCTTTCCCAATCTAACGGAATAGGAAACGCGCCAAGCCATGCTCCTACAAAACTAGAAATTGTGGTGATTTGGAGACTGTTCTCCCATATGGATGTAACTCTGTAAAACACAAATATACAAATCACTGTAGTTTGTATCTTAACTGCTAAAAATCAAACAACAGCACAAATTAACGCTACACGTTTTCTACTCATTTAAAATTAACATCTCAGGTTGACATTTAGATATGTACCATGAAGAAAATATATTTCCATTGGAAAAGTAACATATGCACATAATACAGTCAAATAAGATAAAAGAGTATTTGCAGTGACGATTCTTGGTCCTTCCCTAACATCAATTTCTGGTTCCTTTTCCCAGAAAGAAACTGTTATTTCCAAGTTATTACATCTCCTCCCAGAAATATTTTATGCATGTACAAATACACGTACAATTTTGTTTTGGAGGTTATTTGCATATTTTATATATTTATACACGCATATATATGTATTTATATCCTCTGTTAACAGCTACAATAGTATATGATGGGGCATCATTTAATAAACTAGTCTTTTTTATGGCACATTTCATTTAAACAAAATCAACTGTTACTTGGCAAAGAAGTGATAGAAAACAAAAACAAAGTATTTCAAGAGCTTCAGTGACCATGCCTGCCATTACTATTTACTAAATGCACATCTTAAGGAAGTGAACAGCTGGAAAGTCGTAATTCTGCCACGCTCTTAGCGGATTCTTGGTTTCAGCTTCATGGTATGAATACTTCGTCCTGGGGAACATGTGTCTGGTCCTACCAGTAAGGGCCTGCCACAGTGCAATAAATGGGGTCCTACTACTGAACCACTTACACATGAACAGTCACGCCACTGTGAAGTTAAACAAAAGCATCTTCTAGCAAAAAGGAAAAACACGTTAGATGATTTTCCTTCATTACCAGTTGCCCGATTATTACACACAAAATGCATGCTGAATTAAAGAAATGCCAAATGATGAAAGTTAGCTCATAAACCAAACCCATCACCTGTCCATCTCACGGTCCCACCTGCACGAGGCAGGAGTCTCAGCTTGTTTCTTTGAGAAGTGGAGGGCAAAGCCAATCACTGTACTGTACAGTACACCCAAAACTGTATTATTTGCTGGGCTTCGCAATTCTTTTTGTTTTATATAATACACATAAATGCTAGTTCAATTTCTCCATCTAGAATTCAGCAGAACAGAGTCCTGTTCCAATAATGGAAGGAAAAAAATCTAGCCAAACTGAATGGAAAAAGAGAATAGTATTGCTCAGGCAACTTTATGGATTCTCTAGGGCAGTGATGGTGAACCTTTCGGAGTTTTCAGTGACACAAACAGCCAGCTGCGGAATGCAGGCCATAGTTTTGCCGCCCCTGCTCTACAGTAATTTTTTTACTATGTGGACAAATAATGACAATTTTTGACTATGGCAGACAAATGCTGACTAGCCAACACACGTGTCTTCCGTGTTGAATACAGGAGGCGTAAAGTATGGGAGAGGCTGGGAGTCGCCCTGGCTTTCTTCTGGGCAGTTACATTCTGTTTTAAGCAAGAGGAGAGAATTCAGCTGGATTTGAAAGACAGGTAGTATTAGACCTTATACTGGAAAGAAAGCCGCATTGTAGACAAGAGACGAAAGTAATACTGGTGCGGGCCAAGTGGAAGAATAGGAAATAAGGCTGGAAAAGTAGGTTAGAGCTAAGAACTTTTTAGAAGTAACAGCTTCACTGGATATAATAAAAAATTATCCTAGAAAATCTTTTTCAATCCATACAATTCACTCACTTAAAATACATAATTCAGTGTTTTTTAGCATTGCCGCATAGTTGGTTGACCATCCTGCAGTCAATTGTAGAACATTTTCACCACTCCAAAAAGAAACTCTTCACCCATTAACAGTCACTCTCTATTTCTCTTCCCCAACTCTAGCTCTAAGCAATCACTACACTCGTTTCTGTCTCAATAGATTTACCTATTCTGGACATGACATATAAATGGAACTGTACAACGTAAGGCATTTTGTGCCTAGTTCCTTTAACTTGGCATAAATAAGGCTGCTGTAAACATGCATGTGCGAGCCTTTGTGTAGACATGTGCTTTCATTTTTTTTTTTTTTTTTTTTTTTTTTTTTTGGTTTTTCTCCGGTACCAGGAACTGAACTCACGACCTTGCGCTTGCCATTTATTGGGATTACACCAAGCAGCGGAACAGCTGGGTCATCTGGTAACTATGCTTCACCTTTCAGGAACTGCAGACTGTGTTCCAAAGCAACTGGACTACCCTTCCCTCAGTAGTGTATGAGGGCTCCAACTTTCCCACATCCTCCTAACATTTGTTGTTATCTTTTATTATCTTAGTGGGTGTGAAACCATTGTCAATGTGGTAGATTTAGGGTTAGGATTTAAAAGTCTTAAATGTCACATTACATGAATCACTAAAGGTTTTTTTAAACAGGCAGCTACGTGATCAGAGCTTTTTCCCAGACTTACATACGTATCTTATCTGACCTCTGGGCTTCAGGTTTGTGGGACTACAGGACACGATACATGTTTTCATTTTTTCAGTTTTAGCACACTTCTGGCCAGCTTATGTCTATTAAAATAAAAAAGTGCAAACATTTAAGAGGCTGCCCTCTATTTTGATTATGTGATGTATCCAAGAATGCTTATGATCTTACACATAAGAAAAACAGAAGTAAGTGGAACTAAGGCCTAGTTTAAAAAATAGGAAAACTCTATAGCCTGTCTTTTTAAAATTAAAAAAAAACACTTTTTTTTTCTTTTTCTTGAGACAGGGCCTTGGTATGTAGCTCAGGCTGGCCTCAAATTCATAATCCTTCCATCTCACTCCCCCAAGTGCCCAGGCTACAGGAATGCATGGATCACCATGGCTGGCTTAAACCAAAAGTTTTATATGCATCAAAATAGCACACACAATACCTTGCTACAAAGGACTGCAGTTAGACTAATAATAGTCCCCTCCTCTGTCCCCTGCTCCTGGCTTCTGCACCTGACACATTCTCAACTCTTCCTGCTCTTCCTTTTTATCTCAAATGTGTAAAACGTACTAAAGTACTGATGTTTTTCAAGAGTTCCTCGCTTTCTGCTTTTTACTACAGAACATTTAGCACCTTCTGTTCACAAGCACCTGCCTCCACATACACACTTATCCGTCTGTCCTTCCTGCAGTAGTACGTCACCAGCTTTTGGTCGAATAGCACAGCACCGTGTCTTCATGACTGTAATTATAGAAAGCTAATCAGACTGAAACACACAGTAAGCCACAATTCCATTTCTTTTCTCTTAGTAAACATGATTTTAATTGTCCTTGGATATGAAGAACTGCCCCATCCTCCCACTCCAGCTATTTATGTACCGACCACTGAATCACTTTCGAATGCCCCAAGAATCTCGACAGCACCTCTGCACACTTGCTTTTGCTCTCTTCTCCTCCCTTCTTCTTGGAGGTACCTCCCCTCCTGAACCTGACCTGGCCACGCGATGCCTGCTTACCGCTGCTGTCTTGGGAGGTCCCCACACCCTCATGCGGTGAACTCGTTTCTGTCTCTCCGACCCTCTTTCTCTCCCTCCTCTCCTCTGCTCCCCTTTTCCACAATAGGTTCCCAGGAAACAGTACATGGTAAATAGATTTTTACAGATATTTTAAGTATGAAAATAACAGTAATGGATGCAAGTAACTTTGCCTCAGATTTTAAAGGTACTCTTCAGCGCCATTCTGGTTCCCCAGGCCGTGCAGGTAAGGTTTTTCCTAACCTCTGGAAGCATTCACAACCACCTGGGGTCCTGGCAACACTTCACAAAACTGTGTCTCGAAGCGTCTATTCATCAATTACGTGGGAAACAGTCAAATGCTGTACCCCTGAGCTATACCCCCTGTTGCTTTACGTGGGACATATATGGGTCTTTTAATCTATAATTTAAGTTCCTTTGATTCATGAAACTTTTTATTTAAAGACTTTTTCTACCCAAACTTCATAGGAATTTTGCTTTCCTTACTTTTTGCTGGAAATACTACTATTCTGAATTAATTTCTGTTTGCCTTACCTTTTAACTCATTTTCTGTAACTCTTTTTGTCTGACAAAGGGATTCTTTTTTCAATTTTGTCTCTATTTCTATGCTACTGTATTTTTATTTTCCAGGAGCTTTGTTGGTCTCGGAATATTATCTTCGACTTTCTTCTATTCATGTTTAATGGATATAAAAAACGTGAATTTTAAAGTTATCTTTTGATCTTTATATTACCTTTGTTTCCACTGAGACTTCTGTTGCTTTCATTTCTGGACTTCATTTGAGATAGTCCTAAAATGTCTGATGAGTCTGCAGCTCTCATCCTACTTAAAATACCACAGACGAAGTGCTCAGGATAGGAAGGTCTACAGAGGAAAAGTGTATGAGTGGCTGCCTGACCTGCAGAGTGGGAGAGAAGGTTGGGAACAAGGGATGACTAATAGAAGGCAGTTTATTTTCGGTGTGATGAAATGCTCTAAAATAGGGTTGTGGTGATAGTTGTGCAACTGTGTCTATCCTAAAAACCACTGAATGATATACTTTAAACAGGTGAATTTTACGGGAAACAGTTACATTCCAATAAAGCTATTTTAAAACAATAACAACAAAACACTAAACAGCGCATGGGCAAGATGATTCGGCCCGTGGGCTTCACAATGGCTAGGACTGGATGCAAAGACTATCTTTTTCTTAGAGGATCTCAAAATGTCAAGATCTATAAATTTTTCTTTTATGTCACTTCCCACTGAAAGAAATATTTCAATATTATATCTAGACGATAAAAGCCTGGCTGCTAGTACACTGAGCCAAGCAGGAAGAAAGGGCTGGATGTGAGGTGGGGAATTCATTGTTCACTATAGAGAGTTTCATTTCATCTTTATTCCCTGCAGAGGATGAACGAATACTCAGCATCTGGGGACAGCCAGAATAGCTGAGGATATATGGGGTACGAATGTATTTTCCCACTTTTCTTTCCCCACTGTACAACTTTTGTTGCTGTTATGGCCTGTGTCTAGATGTCTCCCCAACACCTCATGCAATTATAGGTCGGGCTTTGT